GGCGTGAGCCCCCGGGCCCGCAGCCGCCGTTCTGCCCCTCCATGGAGCCGGCACCGGGAGCGGCGGGCGAAGACGGGACGCGCTGGGGCAGCCTGGCTTGTTGGGAACGGCAACTCACTGCCTGCCCGACACTGTGCGTTTGGGGACAGTTTGCAACCACTGTCCCTATCCCCATCCATCCATCCATCCACCCATCCATCCACCCATCCATCCACCCACCCCCCCTTAACAAAGAGGCTTTCAAAACATAACATTTTATGGCAGCCTGTGGAATCAATGCGATAAAAAGGGGTTTTAATGGGTTAATTGACTGGAGCCGCTATCATGTTTAAACACCTGTTTCTGAAAGGAGATTCAGCCAAAACGCGTCCCCTCCCTGATCGATAGATGTACAACCTTGCTGCACTGCCTGTTGATCGACCTCAAATACCACCCTCAATTATGAGAGGGAAAATCCATTTTACCTTTTTATAATGTCCCAATACTTTACAGCAATAGTGAGAAACTACAGCCACTTTGAAGCTGGGGAGGGACAATAAGACCCTGGGTGGACCACGTCAGATAGCGTTAACCTCCGGGCTGGGACTTGGCTTCGAGAGGCTGGGCACAACCTTCCTGTCGAGAGGTCCCGGCTGTCACTTTCACAGAGGAGCAGATCCGGGGATCCCCTTTCCTTGGGAAGATCGAGCCGGCCTCAGCCCGGCCGCAGTAGCAGTGCTGGGAGCCCATGTGAATTCTCTCTCCCAGGGGGAGAGATTAAGCAGGCATTAGTTGTAATAGCTGAGGGCTGCTCTGCCTATTGATTTCCCCTTTTTTTGGCAGTATTAATACAGCCAAGCCCGCCGGTCAGTCACAGCGAAATTGATTCTTTGCCCAAGACACCTTTCACTAAATGGCACCCGCGCACCGACATGTTAATTTTGGAACGTGTGAGCGAAGCGGGCGCTGCGCGCTCGGGAGGCAGCGCCGCCGCCCCTGGCGTCCTCCCCGCCCCAGCCCTGCCGCAGCCCCCTGCCCCTGCCCGGCCGCCGCTTTCCTCCCCCGCCTCGAAACCCAGCGAGGCGTCTTCCCCACAAGGCGGAGGGGGGCAGCCCAAAACGCTGTCACACCACACCCGCACCCCCCCAAATCCATGTCACAGCCGATAACCCAGTGACTGCAACCGGCTCTTCCCTCCTTGAAGCAAAAGTAACTTGGAAGCCCTCCCCTCGCCGGCTTCCCCTCCTCCATTCCCAAGACAGGGTGAAGACCCCCTCAAAAGTTAGAGGCACACTTACAGTTGCTCTTCCAGCTCCAGCCTCCTCCCAACATATCATCTGAAGGGGCAGCCTTATTGTTATTATTACTTTTTTTTGTTTGTTTTTTTCCCCTCTGCTCTAGCCTAGCTCACACCTTCCTCCGAGCGTGCCCGCAGGTGCAGGGCGGGCAGCGCGATACGGAGCCGGCGGTCTCCTCCTCGCCCCTAGCCCAGCCGCAGCTCCCAGGCGGCTGTGCCCGAGCCACGAGTGCCCGGCGACACACGCACACTCACCATTCGCGCTCTCTCGCTCACTCGCTCTCTCTCTCTCCCCCTCACACACACACGCGCACGCACACACATACACACCGCACGGGAGAGGGGGAGAGAGGGAGATCGGGAGACAGAGAAGAAAATGAAATTTATTATTGATAGAAAAGACTTTAAAGACAATTTCAAGTTATTGTTTCGGTCTGCAGAGAAAAGGAAAAAAAAAGAAAAGGAAAGGAAGAAAAAAAAAGGAGAGGGGCTTTTCTCCCCACCCCAACATAATGAAACGCCTTTTGTGTGGCACCGAACAATACCAAACAAGTATTCTAATAAATAGCCACTTTTTTGTTCCGTCGCGGCAGTGAATAGAATTGAGCAGTTGGTTTGAGAGCAGCTGGAGCGCCGCACCGAGCGGGGAGGTGGAGCCCGGAGCCTTCGTCCTCTTTCTCTTCCCCTTTCCTTTTCTCACACGCACTTTCTCCTCTAACCTCGCATTTCTGCCTCTCCGCTCCTGCTGGGCCACTGTCCCCTGCCCCTTTCTGTGGGAGAGATGCCTCCCGGAAGGGTAGAGCCACCCCTAGGTGCTCCTTCCCGCACCTGTGTGGAGGCTCCCCGCGCCTCCTCCCGACCCTCACCGCGTCTGCCTCGGCCGCCCGGCGCCCCGCTCCTGCCCTCCCCCGTACCCTGGAGCTGCCCGGCTGCCCAGGACCCCGCACCCGTTCTCCCCTTTGTTGACAATAAACTTGGATTTCACAGGGAGGCTCAGAGTCCCTCTCCGCCCTCTCGCTCCCCCTCTCCCGGCCTTCCCTCGGGATGGAGCCGGGCTTTGTCAGCCTCCCCCTCTCCGCTCAGGATCGCTGCGGAGGGTCCGCTCTTCCTCCGCCCCGTACCGCTCATTGCCATCACCTCCCCTTTCCTAGACAGCGCCGCTAGTTTTCTTCTTGCAATTTTTTTTCTTCCCTCCCTAAAACACTCTTTTCCAGTCCCTTTCCGCCAACATGACAACCGCTCTAGGAAAGCAAGTCGATAGAGGTTATTAAAATGGACACAAGTCAGCTAAAGATTTTTGGGTAAAGCTGAGAGTGCTCCGTTTTCCGTTCTGCTCCGGCTGGGCGGGTGTGTGCCTGCCCGTCTGTGCCGAGGATGTGCGGCGAGGAGGGAGGGAAGGAGGGAGGGAGGAGGGGAACAGAGGGATGGCTTTGGCCGCCCGAGGAGCCGGCTGGAGCATCCGGGCGGGTCGTGGCTGCCGGGGCTGAACCCTGCGGGGGAGCCAAAGGAGCCGGGGCCAGAGCGCTGGGAACGGACACCGCGGGCAGTCCTCTTCCTACGGCCCGACTGTCTCGTTCTTTTATTAGAGGGGGGATCTAGTCCTCATTCAAAATATAAATTAATACATGCACACGCCCCCCCCCCCCAACCTCCCATTCGGTTGCCAGCCAGAGCCTTGCTTGTCTCGCAAAAACTGCGGGAAGTACCCGAGTTTCAAATAAACCCCAGCAATAGCTGCAAAGGCTCCTTAGCATGCAGGGATTACCTCGTCAGCTATTCTGAGGTGCTAAGTCGCATACAATCATTAGAGATGTTGGAATAAAAAGCAGATTGCTTTTAAGTTTAAATCACCGTTGCCCTTTACAGACTCTTATTGACGCTCGGAGGGGGAGCAGGGCAGCGGACGGGCGTGTATTGAGGACCTGAATTAAATGTTACATCCTCGTCCGTGGCGCTAGAAGTGGGAGACATCTCGGGCAAGGCTCAGCGCTCGCCCTCCGCTAAAGCCGATTCTTGCACGTCCTTCCAGAGCTGCCCAGAAGGACCCCTGGAGGTGAGGGCAAAAAGCGGGGGACGGCCGCTGCGGGAGTGCCGGGATGCCCTCGGTGTCCCCTCCCCAGAGCCCGTCCCTTTTCCCGGGGGGGTCTCGCTGTGAGCCGTGCCCGGCTGCGTACCTCTGCCTGCACGGAAAATTCCCCTCCCTTCTTTTTCCACCCCCTCCCTCCCCTCTCTTTTAAGTGGATTTTTGCTCTCACTTCAATAACACGCCGGCTCTAATTAGCTGCAATATTAAGAAACGCTGCTAAATGACAGTTTTATCGGGTTTGTGCAGATAGGAGGAACGCGGGGACCCGGCGAAATATCCACCCAATGCGTTTGGCGCTGGATCCCCGCCAGCAGCCACCGCTCGCTCTTTTTATATGGAAAAATGGCAACATTTTGGAAAGCAGCTTTAAAACTTTGACTTATATTTTACATGCTAAATAACGGGGAGAATGGCGACAGCGTTACAGAAAGCTTCAACCCTGCAAATATTTGAATGGGGCTTTTTTGTAAAGTAGAGCAGCTGTCAGTCAGCTGGCTTTGACAGCCTGCCACAATTTTGTCATTTAATAGTGGGTGTTAGGCTAAGTGCAAAACACTCTGGCAAACAGATGTCAAACCTACATCTCATATAAATGGGGGTTGTAAAATTGAGTTTTAACCCACATATAGGGTTTTAAAAAGCGGTGCTAGTGTGTAAACTGTATACAAAATAAAGATACTGACAATCTCCCGTGTGGGCTTGTTATTTAAAGTAGGCTTATTTAGAAATCTGACCTCCAAATTATGCTAAATCTTCCTACATTTCAAACAGTGGAATATGAGAACAGTGCTTGGGAAAGTCAAAATTAAGGACAAATATGATAGCTTGTTGAAAGGGTCTGATTACCGTGTGTACGGAGAAATCAAGGGTCTTAATTCATTAAACTTGTTAATCCTCCAAATCTGAAGAGAAGGAAGGAAGGAAGGAAGGAAGGAAGGAAGGAAGGAAGGAAGGAAGGAAGGAAGGAAGGAAGGAAGGAAGGAAGGGAGGGAGGGAGGGAGGGAGGGAGGGAGGAAAGGAGGAAGGGAGGAAGGAAGGAAAGAAGGAAAGAAGGAAGGGAAGGGCTTTGCAGGTCCAGAGGTTTCAGGGACTGTTTTCTACAGTGGGACCCGAGGGATTTGATGTAGGAGAAGGCAGCAGGGGAAGGAAAGACGGCAGATGCAGGGAGTAGGCAGCTGCAGAAGCACAGACTCCGTAGAGTGAACAACGAGCCATGCAATGAGGTGGCCAGAGCCACTGCAAATGGTGAAGGGCACTCTCCCAGGACATGGCAAAATACTATGAGCAGTAGCGGGAAAATATCAGTCACAATTAATTTCTTCAGAAGTTACTATTAGAAACGTGACCTGCTTTTCCTTTTGAACTCGCATTTCCAAGACTCGTATCTTTACCAAGATGTGGTTTTCCCCTGTGAGGGACCTTCCTGACAAAATTCATTTTAGCATCTAAAAACTGTCATAAGTATTTACACAAAAAATTGTTCGTTGCCTCAGTTGGTTAGGACAAAGCAAGAAGAGTAAAGATGATTATTCATTGCACGAATGATATTTTATGAATGATATCAAATTCCTCAGAATAAGTCTGCACCCACATTATCGTTTTGGAAGCTAGACATATAGTTTCCTAGACAAGTCGATCTGAGGGGATTAAATGAAACTTTTAATTGAAAAGAATTGTTCATATTAATAATAGACCACAGTTTAAACACACGCTCAGCTGATTTCCTTGTCGAGTACTCCCTTGCAATATTTGCACTGTCCTAGCTGATGTTAAATGAGTAGAGGAATGCACACGAGGTGATTATTGATCATATGCAGTTACTGCTGTTTACATTTAAATCCCATTTGATCTGAACTCTCTCCACGCTCGTCTCCAAATCCCCAGAGCTCCGCCGCTTGATTACAGCGGTTTCCCCTTTGCAGGTTTTTGTTGGTTGCTTTGCGGGGGCTTTCGACACTTAGTTTGCAGAGCGACGATGAATGCCCGAGCCTGGCTAATGCTGCCGCAGGTGTTGGGGCAGCACGGGCAGACGGGGATGCTCAAAGCCCCGCACCCGGCGGGAGCTGCCCCCGGCCGGCGGCAACTACGGGGCTGCAGTTCGCACCCCGGCTGTCGGAGAGGGGCTCGGAGCCTTCCCCAGCCTCTACCAGGGCTCTTTGTTCAGTACAATAGACACTCTGTTGATGGGTCTGACCTGCAAGTTGCTGCTTCAGAGACCCCAGATTTAAAAAAATCTATTTAAAACCCCCCAGCGGTTCGCCTGGAGTGTCCACGCTGAGGGCACTGGGGACTGCTCGGGTTCCAAGCAGCAGTCCCGAGGTAAGGTCTCTCCCATGCCTTGACAACACTGACTACAGCCTAGCATCGGATCACATCGTCAACGAAGAAATAAGGTTTTATTCTGGAATAATTGCCGCTGAGTTATTTTAAATCAATTGTAGCTGCAAGTTTGATGGGCAATGCGGCTGGCTCTGCGGCTGGTCCCTGGCTCCAGAGAGGAGCCTGGACTGTCTTTATTCAATTTCCTCACACAGAAAAATGCCTGTAGCTGTTATCTAGCCCATTTGCCTGCAAAGAAAGGCTATGGCAGAACGTCACCCTTATTTTCAAACAAGTAAGTGATCAACAAATCTAGAAAAAAAATTATTGCCATACTTGATGAATATTAAAAATCTTATCTTGCTGCTTAAAAAATGGACATTCTATTGCCTATAATGTGTTCGCTTTTTTTACCAATACACTTATATGAGTGCTTTCCATCATAGACACAGCTGCCTCTTTTTCAGCATTCTGCCATGAAACAGTTGCAAGCCTCAGAAGTCAAAATATAATTGACACAGCTAAATATTTTTTCCTAAATGCAGCAGTTTTATCAAGTCTTAATTTTAAGTCCAGTGACAACTTGAGTGTCCTACAATTGCTCTGGAATACAGATCAGTATTCTCTCCAACAGCAGTGTCATGGGAAATCCAGGCACTCAACTTGTATCTATTCCATTACTTCAGGTATTAATACTAACATGTTTTCAAGGTGGAAATTCAACAAATTGAACAAATTCAAATGATAGAGCTGGGAAATTACTAAAACGACATTGGAAATGTAGAAAAAGATATTTCTAATTTTAGTGTTTCAGGATTAAATGGGGTTTGTGCTGTGGATGGGAAAAAAAAAGTTCACCAAAATTGTGCCTCCCATGGGTTTGGTTCCTGTTATTGCTGTGGAATGATGCCTGATCCATACTGGAGTGAAATTAGAGGGAAGCTATGACTTCTGTAACATGCAAGCTATAAAAATCAACAGGGGAAATCTAATTGGTTTTTTGTGTTGTTTCTGTCATTTAATTTTAGAGCAGTAGACAGTAATGGAATGGTTTTCTCAATGTGGTGGTTTTTGTTTTTTGGAGGCAGGGTGGAGGTGGTCATGTCTTAGATTTGTTTCCCCTTTCAATAGGGTCTGAAGCCAAAACCACACCATTCAAGTGCAGAATATACACTCCAAGACCAAACTGCAAACAGTTTTTCAAGTGGCTTATGAGCAGAAAGTATGGAGTGAAGATTAGGTTATCCCACTGCAAGGCAATCCAGTCATTTGATGAAATCACCAAAGTTGAAGGCAGTGCTTTAAAATGGAGCATGGCTTAGCATCAGGCTGAGCTTCAAAGAGACTGAGGCAACTCCTCATTGAAGTGTTTAGAGACTGTCATCATTGTCATGAACTCACCAGGATGTGTTACAGCTTTAAGACATTAGTTTCTTTCCAAGTATCCAAGCACATGTACAGATAGATCATATTTTCATGTCAATGGCAGAGATGGTTTCACATATTTTGTATATATTTAACATCATATATTTGTATTTCCTTGGGAAGGTGACAGTATATTCTCCATTTGATGCCCCAGTAGTATATGCAAAATGGAGGTATACATTTTCTTCTGTTTACTTTGTAGATGTTCCAGTGCTGGAGAAGCTCCTTCTCAAATCATTGGGATGAGTAGATCACCATGAGGCATAGCTTGCTGAGACAGTGACTGCTCTGACACTATTCCAATCTTTCAGCTCCTCTTCCAGTGAGGACGATTCACTTTTGCTGCTTTACCAGGACTGCCCCTGGGTCACCCAGGGGATTAGATTGCTTTTCTGTTGCATTAGGTCCAGCCGGCTGTCAGTTTGTTGCCTTATGTTCCTCCAAAGTGTCCCGATGCTCTGATTGTTGCTACTGTAGAAATCCTGGACTTTTGGCTGGGATGGACATCTCATATCCTTTGTGAGAGTACCTGGAGGAAGGAGAGAGGATGGTTTTCTCTGGAGCCCTCTTCTCAAAGGCAAAATATGGATATGAGCCAATCTGAGCTGGGAGTCATGGACTCAGACCCTACCTCAGCTCTCAAAAGCTGCTCAGATGCATTGAAACAGTGCACCCAACTGGCTATTAATAATGTCTAAGAAACAGCCTGAGGTTCCTGGTAAGTCCTTTGGATTTCAGCATTTGTAGGGCTCCAGAATATTTAGACACAAAATTGTCACTGAAATGAACATAAACTCTGCATCTAAATCCCTAGACTTATTTATCCTTGGCCTGAAGATGTCAGATATCTGACTTAATCTTCCCAAGCCTCCACTGAGCCATAGATACACCGGCTACTATAGCACACAGGAACATCACAGGGGAATTATGAGAACAAACTTGATAATACTTTTAAAGAGGTAACAAATGTACTCAGAATTATCTTTACTGTTTATCACCGTGACACTCACTGGCTGGTAAAGCAGGAGATAATGCTTAGAAAAATCTGAGGAATATTGTCTTGTTTGAAAATATCTCTTCTACTAATGTGATGACTGTCTAGTGGAGTTGTGGTTGCTGGGAATTCACACACTGATTTTATGGAGAGATAAAAGAGTGGAGTTTATATGGAATAAACCCCTTTTGAATAAAACAATCTGCATAAATGCTTTAAGAAAGCCTATAATTATGATAAAAATGTTGCTCAGAGTTAAAATTATGAAGCAATCAAAATTTATAAACAGTCTCTCATCGACTTTTAATCATACTTTCTCATATACAAACTGTAGAAAACATATAGTAGCAATATATAACAATAAATATTTTATTTTTGATAATTTAGGGTGCCATACCATTCTCTTTAATCAGACAAAGCTTGTCTTGTCAAGCTCTACAGTACTATCCTTAAAGGTCAAAAAACACATAAAGTTCTCTAGTTTTACCTACACTTATCTGAGGTTTTATCCTGCTGGCAGTTAAACACCCCTGGAGAGGTGTTGTGCCCTGTCTGGGCTAGATCCAAAACTTGGTATGGTGATATTCCCACCAAGAATCTCTGGATCAGGGCCTCTACTCTCACTGCCTGCTCTGAAGATGCTCTCTCAGTGTAAGACAGGATCCTCCCCTGGAAATCCCTTGTAGACATTGCTCTTCATTTGTCATTCATTCAGGAGAATGTTCAAATTATATGCACCATGTAGGACTTGGATGGCAAGAGATATTCAAAAGAAGGAATATTTGTAATGGGAACTAATGGGAACCTAGCCAGCTTGAATGCTAGCCTACCATGTCTATAAGCTCCATTGTTTCCTCTGAGCTGAACTAGCTGAACAATTTGGGATGCATCCGGATAATAACGTGTGTCCCTTGGCAAGTTGTAAAATTCACTGGTATTATTGTGTTATGAAAAATATTACCCCAAATGTGGTCAGATATGTCATTTTAATGAAATATTTTCTTCAACACATATGTATTTTTAATGCAGTATTACTAGATTCTTTTCTGGAACAGAATAGCATGCAGAGTATTCCATCCAAATTCCTTACGAAAATCAGATCTATTGAATTGACTGGCACAGCCCTTATTGATAGGTTAACTGTTTCAGTCCCCTTAATTACCAGAGTGAACAGCCTTTTCTGCTTAAACATTGATTCAACTGCTGCTTTCAGCTAGACATAATAATAAGGAACAACTGCCCCGAGTCTCACAAGGTTTACACCTTCCAAACAGAGTGTGAAATCATGTCCATAAATACATGCTTCCAATGTTTTCAAGGGGCGACACCCTTCCAGGACTTCCTATAGATTCCATTTGTCTTCAGGTCCTTGTGAGCTCACTCTCTTTTCCCTGACCAAGAGCCTGAAACAAAAGTTGCCAAGTGGACTAGTGGTGGGAGGAAGGACTGGAGAAGTCTCCTTCCACAGTCAGTGGGGCCAGACCCTAAGGGGTGCTCACCCTATTGGTCTGAGGAGCACTATGAATATTTTGTGGCATTTTTAAATAAATCTCATTGTCTTTTATATGAATTCTGCATGCTTGAAGGGGAAAACATTTTTAGCTTGGGAAAGTGAAACTTCAGCTTGATGATTTAGATGGCTGTTTGTGAAGGACAGAGAAGCTTCACGAGTGCAGCTGATGTGCATTCTCTGATAGGGTTTGACTATCAAACAATGTCATTCTTCAATGTGCTTGCCATGCTCCTGCCCATGTCCCAAATCCAAGCACAGCACAACTTTTTTTCAGCCAAAAAAACCTCTTTGTCCCTTTGGGACTTTCTGACTTTGGGAGAGACAGGCAGATTTTTTTTTGTTTTCTTCTTTTACAGTCCAGTTTCCTGACACTTGGCCCTATTAGGGGTTTACCTACCGAAGGATGGGTAGAAGTTATTTTCTTTGATTAATATAACACTTCATTTAAAAGACTTCTTTACTATGAAATCTCTACATTTAGCAGTCTATAATCACTAAATATAAATAGAAACTCTCACTTTGTGTCTATATGTGGGTCTAAAAATGAGGTTCTCTTTCCAGCTGAGACAGATGAATGTCATGAGTGCTCTGTGTAGGATGCAGGGCAAAATACTACAACAAAACCTAAACAAACCTAAAGTATAAAACCAAACATTTTGTACACTTACATTAAAATTATACTGAAAATTGGGAGCATGAACTACAAAACTAGGCTTCTTTCTGTTTTACAAACTGCAACGTCTGTTAAGAAAAACTAAAGCATAATTGCACATTGGAATTTCCTGCCTATTCTTACATCGACATTTGTGTTTTTCTCTTATCATCTCCCACATGTAAATGGAGCAGCTTCCTAACCCTCTTGTTATATATCACATTCAATGCAACAGTTTAGCAAATTCTCCAATTGTGTTGATGTTTGCTTTCACAGACATGGAAAGCAATTTGATGTGTCCTTTTAATGAGTCATTTTCATGCAGGAGAAAAACAGTGGTTGGGGAAGTTCCTAAAGCATGCTGCTCATTGATTTTAAGATTCTCTTTTGAATCTGTGTTGCTTAAAACCAAGATTGTTCTGTCAGAAGAGTTATTCAAACCATCTTTTCTTCTAACTCATAAGTTTGAAGAACTCCAGCTTCCTTTCACTTCTTTGCAGGGGCTGCAATTTTATCACTGAATTGGCTTTGCCACAAAACAGTGACATGAAATTCAAGGTTTATTTTAAAAAGTTTTTAACACTTGGGTTGATAGTGGTAACTGTCAAAATGTTAGAAGGATGCAAAATCATCTGCTCATGACAGTGCAAGGGAAGTGCAGATGGAAGTCCAGTGGGGCAGAAGTTCTCTTCATCTGTAGCAGGTGTTGGCTCTAAACTATAATGGTGACAATATAAATGTAATTTTTAAAGCTGTCCTCCTATGCTGATTACTTCAGTGGTGTTTCTAATGAATGCACAAACCTACCAATCTTGCTTGAATTCTGACTTGCACAAAGGATGGCTTGAGCAGAAAACTAATTGCAATGGATAGTTTCTTTCGAAGAACAAGAATTTGGAACCCAATGAAACAAATGTGAGAAGAGATGAGCCAGACCTCCCACACTGGTCACTGAAGCAACTACAGTGGTCATCACAACCCTACTCATGGTCACTGCGTGCTCTTGCACACAGGGTTCCTTTGGGGTTTCACTCGACTGACAAGATGGAGAGATGGCACATACTGACCTTTCAAGCACTAATAAAGGAGAGATGGCACACACTGACCCTTCAAGCACTAATAAAGGGGGGCATGAAATTTTGGCTACAGTGAGCCACATGAGCTGTGTCGCACTGAAGAATGCAGGGATGGGTGTTTTCCTACCTCTTTGCTTTGGTGAGACAACTCAGACATAGCCGAGCTCCACAATAGGGGTAGACTGAGGTACACACCAAGCACTCCTTGTGTTCAGCTTTTGTTTCAGATGTACTGGCAGAGCTGTGGCATGTATGGCAGTGAGTCCCCTCATCTAAAACACTGAGATTCATGGCTTTTGGGCATCCTACAGCATCCTACAATAAAGGATACCGCTCCAGCCACATAAGGATGTGGGAGAATGTGCAACAAAAAAGCACGAAGGAAGGTGGTGCCTGTAGCATGTTGCATTCCCACATGCATGTGGCATTTAGCAGGGGCTGCAGACAGCATGTGTGTGCAAGGGATGAATTTTTGGTCATGTTATCAGGGCAGAAGGGTGTGCACTGGGGAAAGAGTTTGAGGACACAGAGTGCCAGAACAACTCATCCAGATTACAGCTCCCTCACTGGGACAATGCTGTGGTGTGTTCTTAAGTTCGTTAGTTTGCTCTTCCCATTTTCTGTATTACTTCTTGCTGCTACCCTGCCAGTTAGGTTGCTATGGAAATGAAACTGCTCCTCCCTTGGTTTCTCTTATAAAGTGAAAGTTGTTTCCTCCTTGGGCTCAGTCAATCACTCCTTTTCTCCTCCCAGGTTTCGAGAATTTTCTTTTCTCTGAGAGGTATGGTTGGCTAACTAACGAACTTAAGAACACACCACAGCAGGACAAGCTGGTGGGTCCCAGGGAATAGGCTGCAGGATTGAATGAATGTTTTTCTGGATTTTGCTTGCTGGATACATGCAAAGCACATCAGTGCAACTTGTGACTAGAACTCAGTCTTGTAAAAGGAAATTTTGCTGGAATAAGGTATCATTAGAAAGCAAATTCACTAGAATTCATGTGAGCCCATTTAAAAGCAAAATCATAGCTCATTATTTTTCTTTTAAACTAAAGGAAAATCTTCTGATTTAGTTGAAAAGTAGGTGAAATTGGTAACTGGAGCTACTGGTGAACATAATTTATAGTGTGCAGACTCTATAAATTGTGTTCAATATATTTTCCAAGGTACACGAATAAAATTACAATTATTTATTAAAAATACTACTTCAGTACAAAAATTGAAAGTTTCTTTTTGGGCACAATGACATTTGCTGTACCTAGAGTCTGTATATTAGAATGATACAGGTCATCGTG